TCGATCCGATATAAATTCGGTCAAATCTAACGTGCACTAGTTAAGCTATCAGTACGACCTTACGGGGTGCTACCCGCAGCGAGCGCGAGCGACGCCCGGCGGAGCGCGCGGCCTTCTCGACGGCGCTCAACGCCGTGTCGCAGGGCCTCGGCGACCTCGGCAAGGGCCTCGCGCCCGCGCGGCTCCGCGAGACCCTCGGCACGCTCCAGGACGTCGTCGGCAAGGTCCTCGCGGCGCCCGGCGACCCCAAGTTCCGCGTCGCGCGTCGCCCCGCGTCGCCTTCCCGCCCCTCGCGCGCGACCCCCCCCGTTCCGTAGATCAAGAAGGCCGCCCTCCTCGCCAAGCTCAAGGAGTGCCGCAACGCGGAGACCTTCCTCAGGGCGCTCGGCTTCCGCACCGCGCGCGGCGACGACGGCGGCCAGCAGATCGACTGGTTCGTGCTCGACCGCGCGCGCGAGACCGACGTCGCGCCCTCGGACCTGCAGAAGCTCGAGAGAGCGCAAAAGGACCTCGCCGCCGCGCTCAAGGCCGCGCCGACGCCGGAGCGGCCGTCCGAGAAGGCCGCGCGCGAGCGGAAGCGCGAGCTCGTCAAGTTCCACGCGGACCACGCGGACAAGAAGCGGCGCCGCGGCTAGAGAGAGAGAGCCGCGCGCGCCCAAGAAGAGAGAGGCTACAGGACTACTAAGAGCACCGCGCCTAGGCCGCGGGCGTCTTCTTGGCCGTGGGCGACGTCTTCGGCGAGCTCGGCGGCGAGAGGGACTTGCGGTAGGTCCCGCGGCTCGGCGAGGACGGCTTGTCGAGCGCGAGGTCGTAGGCGGAGAAGTGCTCGCGGTCCTGGCTGTCGTGGATCTCCGGGCCGACCTTGAGGAAGGGCGGGAAGTCGATGGAGCCGTCGGGCCGCGCGGCCTGGCAGTGGAGGATCGCCAAGTCGCGGTCGACGTACTGGTGGACGACGAAGGACTGGTTCCCGTAGAGGAAGTGGAGCCGCCGCTGGGCGATGGGCTTCCGCCGCGGGTCCGCCGTCGCGAGGTGCGCCTCGTACTCGCGCCGCAGGATGCGCCGCTTGCGCTCGTGGATCTGGCCGTCGCCCGCCTCCTCGCGCAAGACCTCGACGTAGCCGTAGGACGCGGCGCCCTCGACGGACGTGCGCACGCGCACGTAGGCGTGGCAGTCGTAGGAGCTCTCCTCCTCCGGGAGGGCGTGGGAGAGGTGGGACGTGCGGGGCTTCCGCGGCGTCTGCTGGAGGAAGACCTTGGTCACGGAGAACGTCGTCAGGTCGACGCCCGCGGCCTCGAAGGTCGCCGCGGGCGGCAGCTCCGCGTCGAGCACGAACTTGCGCACGGACTTGGGGAGCACGGGCAGCCCGACGATTTCGCCGCGGCGTCGACGA